ATATACACATATATGTGTGTGTGTGTGTGTGTAGATGGTGTGTGCATTCACTGGAGAGAGAGAGAAACACTCCACGTGGGAAAGGGTCACACTGCAGTCCCTTCTCCACTTTCCCCTCCTCCCTGGAATTTGGGCATGCACACACACATGCCCTGTGTAGATTTCAAGCCACTGAGTCTGAAACTCAAACACGGTCAGCCACGTGGCATCCAGCCTTAACCACCAAGCCACCGGCTGGCCCCACACAGTATTTGACCTTAAGTTTTGTCCTGTTTCGTAATGTACTTAATAATCATAAATAGACACTCTGGTCACATGGAATGACAGGACAGAAGAAAGCCAACTTCTGCTTCTTTGTATTTACAATCATTCCACCAGCATCGTGCATTTCCATCGTGCTGTTTAAATGTAGGATGTTAGTTACACAGGAGTAGAAAGCACCAGCTGTGTCTGAAGTAAACCTGAATGATTCCAGCAGTTAAAAACCTACTCTCCAAATGAATGCACATAGATGAATCTGTGAGTACTGGGCGGGATCGGGGTGTGGGGGGGGGGGGGGGGGGGTATGGTATAACTAGGGGTACTCCAAATTTTCATCCATGTGGCATACAGAGTTTATTAATGTGCAAGTAATTAAAATGTGTAACTGAAAACTAGTCTATCATACAGATGTCAAATTAAAATTGGATGGCAGGTGGTGTGGTGGTTAAAGGCACTGGATTCCCACATGGCTGACTGTGGTTCAAGTCCCAGACCTAGCAGCTTGCTTTCTCACTTTTCCTTTCTCTCTCTCTCTGGTCAAATTAAAAAATAATAATAACAAATGGAATTAAATAAATATCTTTTTTAAAAAATTGGTAGAGGAGAAAAAGAGAACTGAGATACTTTGGGATATCATTGAGCCTTTCTTCAGACTTGTTACATGATTTAATAAAATTAAGAATTGCTTAAGTTCCTGTTTAAAAGATTTTTTTTAACTTGCAGCTGGATACTTTCTAACTGATGCACTTTATAACCTGTCTTACTAAAAAGCTAGCTGTTCTGGATAGTAAGAGTTTGTGCTCTGTGTCTCTAACTCCTCACCTCCTATTCCTGTTTCAAGGCAGTATCGCTTTGTCCTCAATAGTTCCCTGAACTTGTTTGTGCCCGTGACCACTCTGCTTAACCCGACGGGCACTTTCCAGTCTTTCATTTTACTTGACAACCCTTAGGTTTCTGGCTGTATCCTTCTTCCTTCTCGGGCATTGATGACACCATCGTTTATAACTAAATATGCACCTGTTTTTTTCTTCATTAGATTCTTGACCTTGACCTCTCTAGTCTATAATCTCCATTGCTTTTCCAGTGCCTGGCCTATAGAAAGCACTACCCAACCACGTGTAGACGAAGGGAAGCAACTACTCACAGAATTTTAAATACACAAAAGGTTTAGGTCGATGTTCTACAGACTATGCTTGGTTGGTGGCAGAGCACGGAAAAGGAAGTCTGGTGGCTTTTAGTCCAGTCGCCTTTGAATCCCCCACCTCCCACCTGGCATGCCAGGACTTCCAATATCCACAGCTGGAGAGCATATCATTCAGTACTGTGTTACCCTTTATCATTCATGACGCAGCTTTCTATAAACTACTGAGCTATTTTTTGGGGGAAAGGTTTTCGGTATAGGGCGCATGCGCTCGCCAGACAGAGAGACACAGAGACAGAAAGCGAGAAATCACCCCCCACGGGGGATGGTCACGCCGCAATCCCTTCTCCTCCATTCTCCTCTCGGGATCTTGGGCACACACGCACACGCGCCCGGCGTGAGTTTTAAGCCACCGGGTCCGGGACGTGAACCGTGGTCGACTACGTGGGAATCCAGCAACATAGCCATTACGCTAACTGCTGGTTCCCTATTGTTATTATCTTTTAGAGAGATTTTTTCCTATAGGGCATGTGCACTTGCAGGATAAATACAGACAAAAAGCGAGAAATCACCTCCCCGGGAAGATGGCCATTGCACAATCCCTTTTCCTTCTTTCTCCTCTTGGATCTTAGGCATGCACGCATACACACCTAAGCACAAGTTTTAAACCACCGGTTCCAGGGCTTGAACCATGGCTGAATATGTGGATGTCCAACGACATAGCCATTATGCCATCTGCTGGTCCCACACAGCATATTTTTAAAGCCATTGCAGTCAGACTGCAGTCAGCCATGTAGGATCTGACTCCCATAACTACAGGGCTGTGCGGCCAGCTAGTGCCCTGCCTTTGAGGGGCTTTGACTAAAGGATATGACTTGTATTGCCGAATCCTCCTCCTTCTCACAGCTGTTGTGTTTCCTGATAATGCCAACATTTTCTTTTGTTCAATTCAAACATGCACAGAGCCCATTTGGTACAATCCCAGAATCTGGTCTGTCTGCTACTTAATGTCCCACACAGCATACTTGACAAAGTGTTTCTTCCTGTCACCTTTCCTTATCAGCATAAAGGAGAAAGGCATAGATTAGTTAGGATGTGAACATCCGCAGCACAACAGCATCCATAAATGTTTGGGTAATGTGTTGGCTGGAAAATGCTTTTGCAGTTGCAGAAAGCTTTCCATGCTCAAGGGAAGAAAGCGCCTATCATTCATCATCACATTCTTGAGAATGTTTTTCTTTTTCTTTAAGCTGTAGACACGGGCTTCTGCGCATCACTGAGTACTTCCAAGAATGCTGGCTGTTTGCTGCTCAAGGCTGACACTAATCCCGTGCACACTCCTTTGAGACTTCTCAATGTGTGACCCACTTTCCAGTAACCAGTGGTTTTAGCGAGGCTCTTCTGGGTCCAGGTTCTCACCCAAGAACTGCTGACAGGCTGTCTAGAGCTGAGAGCTGCGGGAACAGGATTTTCACTTTCTCAGTTTCTTTTTTGGGGCCTGCACGTTGTCCTTAGGCTCATGGCCTCTTTTTCTACACATCTTTTTAGCTTCAGCTTTTGGTATTAGACTGTTTATTCTCTGCTGCTTTGTGGTTTACATTTTCATAAAGAAATCTGGTTAGCTTGGCTTATCTGTGTGTGGTCAAGAGGTATTGCACATTGTTGGCCGGTGGATGGATCGGCTGATCCTGGACCACCGAACTGGGCACAGAGGCCAGGACTCACGGCAGGATGGGAGTAGGGTCCTGGAGTGACCTACAAAACCTAATAGCACTTAACATACAACAAAAGAGGTAACAAGGGCAACTTCTCAAGGAAATTGGGGAGTGGACTTCTTTTATACTGTGGGTAGGATTTCTCTAAAAGTTGAACATTCATCTTACTTTTTTATTCCCTTTATTTATCAATATTAGTGCTATATAAGTTCAATTTTCTTTTCTTTTAATTGCCAAAGGGTGTGTGCACTCACCTGTGAGAGACAGAGAAAGAGGGGGAGAGAGAGAGAGAAAGCGCAGCCCAATTGGATGTGGTCTTGCTGCAAACTCTTCTCCACTTCTCCATCCTCTCAGGATTTGGGGCACCCACATGAGCCTGACATATTTCTCAAGCTGCTAGGAACCAGAATTGGAACTGTGGTTAGCCATGTGGGATCTGGATCCCTTAACCACTAGACTATGGGGCCAACATTGCATGTCACATAGTCGTAGGGCTACAGAGAAGTGGAGAATGAGAAGCAGAACTCCAGCTTGCCAGCAGAGGCTTTAACTAAAACACCAAAAGAGGGAAGGAGAGCCTAGATAATAATCCCGATGATTAGGAAATGTTCGTTGCCAAAGGGATTTTCCTCTTTTCTTATGTATGAGGATACATCAAAGAGAAATGAATGATGTGTTGAAGAGTTCTAATGTATAATTACTGTGATAAAACATTGATGCTGTAGGAGTCCAGATGGTGGCACAGCAGTAGAAAGTGACGCTCTGCAAGGTTGACTCACATGAAAAGGTTCCAGGTTTGCATCCAGAGACCTCCCTAGGTACGCTGGCACACATATACCCCTGATTGGGGGCTGGCTGAGCTTCAGGGTGGATCACGGCAATGGGACCCTACTGAAGGTATGCTCTTTCTCTCTCTCTCTCTCTGTCTCTATTGCTCGTGGAAAAAAGAAAGAAAGAAAAAAAGAAAGAAAAAAACATTTAAAATGGGACCAGCAGATGGTATAATGGTTATGTAACTGGACTCTCACATAGTGGACCACAGTTAAAATCTGGGACCTCACACCTGGTGCATGTGCATGCATGTCCAAAATCCTGAGAGGAGAATGGAGGAGCAGGGATTGCAGCATGGCCATCTTCCCTAGGGGGGTGATTTCTCGTTTACTGTCTCTGTGTCTCTCTGGTTAGCTCACACACTCTATGGCAAAAAATCTCTCTTTAAAAAAAGTAAAATGTCCCCTTTTCAAAACTTAGAAGTTCAGAAATTATTTTAAAGTTTACTCTAGGGGGCCAGCATGTGGCATGGTGGTTAAGGCACTAGACTCCCACATGGCCAAGCGTGGTTCACATTCCAGACCTGGCAGCTTGTTCTCTCTCTCTCTCTCTCTCTCTTTCTGCCTCTCTCTGGTGAGCACGCATGCCCCATAGCAAGTTAAAAATAATAATAAAAAATAGTAAGAATAATAATAAATAAAATTAAATAATTATTTAAAAAAATAAAGTTTCATTACAGAATCTGTTCATGATTCACATTTAGTTTTCTTTAGTACCTAGGAAATGTTTGATAAGTGTGGAAAAATGTGTGTGTAGAAATTAATAATAAATAAATCACTTTTTATAAAAAAAAAGTTAGAATTTATTTAAATTACTCAAACCAAATGATTCAAGAAGTATATTAAACAATTATTTCTAAGTGGATTTTTTTTCTTGTTGTACATAGCAGTAAGGGCACTCCTGTCAACTCCTCAGCTTTTGTTTGACCTGCTTTTGTCAAATGCTTTGTGAAATGATATTCAGAATAGCGCCATGTGATGTCAACTTGCATTAACTCCTTCCCAGAGAGAGATGTTCAGTATTCACACCGTGTTTGTCCTGGCATAATCTATTTATGTTTCAGCTTCATTTCTAAGCATTTTCAAGTTCCGCCTCCTTTGGAAGACTCTTCTTTTTTGAGATTTCTCTTCTAAAATAACCTTTGAAAGGACAATAATAATGTCCTTTGAAACTTCTTTCAGGGAAGTTATTTAAAAGTAATAAATATTTAAGAGAATCGAATAAAAATGTTAGTGACACATCAATACTAAGTTTTACTATTTTCATCATATAGTATGAAAACTTAAAACTCTCACTCATTCACTGCACTTAAGGAGAGCTCAGTGTAGTAGATCTATCAGCGATATTGAATTTGTTTTTATGTAAAAGATAATGCATTCATTTCCTTTTTGCCATCACTATATGCCTATGTCCTTAAAATTATATGCTGTGCTTTAATTCAGTTATAATCTTGACCATATATTAGCAAACACCTCAAGTTTTTTCTGATTGAACTGCATAAACAACAACATGGGGTAACAGAAAACATTCGCTTCAAATTTGTTCATTCGAACAATGTAAGTTACTAATCTATTATTCCATCTTGCCAAGAAAACAAATTAGAGAAAGGTTTTTGTTAAGATCCTAAATCTAGATTTTAATGACTTTGAAATGAATTCTCAAAAAAAAAAAGTGAATTCCCTATCCCCCTGTGAACCAATTAGAACACGTTCAGATACAGTCTTACAGCAGCCGTAATTCAGATGACGGGTAACGGACTTTTTCAGGTTTTGTCTGTTCCACCTTTTCTCTGGAGCCGGTTTCTGGTTGGTTCTGTCAGTACCAAGGGCTCTTGGATGATGACCGCGGGGTAATTGTTGCCTAGTAACTCCACCTCCACTTGCTGTCCCACTGTACTCAGCTCCGTAGGGACATAAGCAAAAGCCAGACTCTTCTGGATGCTGTAACTGTAACTTCCAGATGTTGTGTTGCCAACAACCTGAAAAACAAGCCCCAACAATCAGCCTCTTGGCCATACTCGGTGCTCGTCATTTCTAGATTAGAAAACCTAAAATATAGATTCTACTTACAGTATAACAGTTTTAAGAAATGCTGCCTATGGGGAAAACACCAGGGATACAGAAAGAAAACTTTGCTTTTTTGAGAAGATGAAAGAAAGCTTACAAAATCTGGAAAAAAAAAAGATTCTCAAAGTATTACATCTCAGCAAAGTCATGATATATTTTCCTATGCAAAAATGCATCATGACTTTTCTGATGACCCAATATACATCAGTATTACTCTGCAATTTCTCATTTAAAATAATAAAGGTTCCCTAATACCTGGCACTATTTTGCTCAATTTCGTATCCCAAGAGATCATTAATCAAATGTCCCTGTTGGGATTTAGAAAATGTCCTGCCAAAATGGTGCTGAATTAAACTATTTATTAATATCTCAGTAGTCAAGGCAAAGTATTCTATGTGAGAAAATTTATATAGTATATGTAGTATTTAACAATCCTTGACAATTGGTAGGCACTTAAATAAAAGAGTGCATTTAATGCTTTTAGCTCTACCACATACAAAACATTTCCCTAGATACAGAGGAGTGAAAGAGTCCTGGTACCTACCGTCAAGAGCTTGCAGCCTCATTGGGGAATTAACATAGAGACACAAGAAAATATAATCAGGAAGCCACAGTAGTAAACACAGAGACTAATCATCGAGCCAGGATTTGTTCTATACTCTGAAGGCGGGCAGAATTAGCTTGGCAGAGATGTGCATGACACCCTCCAGGATGAGGGCAGGCACGGTAGAAATGGACCAAAATGTAAGCAATCAAAACCAAACAGGGGACCAGCAGTTAGCATAATGGCTATGTCGCTGGACTCCCACATAGTCGACCGTGGTTCGCGTCCCAGACCCGGTGGCTTAAAACTCACACCGGGCGCGTGTGCGTGCATGCCCAAGATCCCGAGAGGAGAATGGAGGAGAAGGGATTGCAGCGTGGCCACCCCCCTGGGGGGTGATTTCTCGCTTTCTGTCTCTCTGTCTCTCACTATCTGGTGAGTGCACGCACCCTATAGCAAAAACCTCTCAAGAAAAAGAAAAACCAAACAGGACAAATAAGTTTCCTTGGCATGGCAAACCAGAGAACAACAATGAACAAGGAATCAAAACTCAGAAGGTAAAAACGAAGGCTTCATGCTACGAACAGTCAAATAAAAAATTTATGCAACAAGCCTGATTGGAAGATGAGAGGGTTAGTGGAAACCAGAGCTAAAGAAAAAGATGAAAGAGAAAAAAAAAATATTGTCAATTTAAAACACTGTATGAAAAAATTAAGTAAAAGGAAGACAACACAAACAAAACACCATATATAGCCCTGCTCAGAATGGCTTCTCCTGACCACACAACACTGCACTAATCCAGACAGCCCCACTGTCTAGCACAGCGATTGCCTATACCTGGTGTTTAAAATATTCAGAGATGAGAATCAGCTGCCTTTGGCTGCCTCAGCAAAGAGCCCACTACAGCCAACAGTCGGTGCCGCGTTTCTAGACGTGGAGATGCTAACGCGTCTGTAACGTGAAATGCAGACTCCTCTCTCTGTAGTCCCAGTTTTTAATTATCTCTTTAAAACCCCCAATCAGAAGCTCTTTGTAGGATTTCTAAACTTATAATGGTGAGAACTGGTTGATTAAAAGAACAACAACAAACCTGAATGCATTCCTTAGTAAAAAGTGTCTCTCTGGCATATTATTAACTACTAAGGCATAAGGTATATGCTTACAGTGCTTTTCCCCCTTAAGATCAAAGTGATGCAAGGTGGGGATTAGGTAGGGCCAGGGAGGCTGGAGTTGTAATCCTTGCTGCTGCTTCTGTGTGTGTGTTTCTAACTAGAGAGTGTGGGTTGGATGAGAGAGAGAGAGAGAGAGAGATTGAGATTTTATTTATTTTTTTATAATTATTTTATTTTTATTCATTCATTTATTTATTTTATTATTATTATTATTATTATTTTTTAATTTGACCAGAGAGAGACAGGTTGAGAGTGAGA